CCCCCCCCCCCCCCCGCCCTCCCCCCGACGCGCGGCCGCCCTCCATCGCCGCCCATAGTTCCGCCAAGCACGCATCACCACCTCCCTGAGCGATGACCCGCGGCCGCCATCGGACCGGCATATGACCTCGGCCGTCCTGGCAGCCACCATCTACCGCGCGGCCCTGGATGCCAGCGAGTTGGTCGTGGCGTCCATGGCCGAGAAGTCCATGTCCCTGACGGAGATCATCGACCAAGCCCTCAACAATGCCAAGCACTCGCTGGACCTGTACCGGGCCCAGCTTCACCGGGACATCGCCACCCTGCTGGCCACCGAGGACCCGCGGAACTTGCCCAACCACCCGGCCTACCTGTCGCACTCGCACTCGCTGGCGGCCCAATTGTCTCTCGGCCAGCTGCCCCTCAACTACCCCGGTGCCGGGGGCTCTGGGGTGGCGGCTCCCGGGGCGGCGTCCGCCCTCCACGGTCTGTCGCCTGCCTTCTGGAGCGGCGGCGGGTCGATGGCCGCGGCGGCGGCCGTTTCGGCGGCCGCCGCCAATGCCGCGGCCGCCGCGGCCGCCGCCTCCAATCCCAACCACCGGCAGGATGCATCTCTGGCAGCGTCGGTCGGGCTCCAGCCGACCGCCGCCACTGCCGGGGGGGCTGCCTCCGCCGTCGGAGGACCAGTCGCGAATGTGGACATGATGGCGGCTGCGGCGGCGGCGGCGGCGGCGGCTGCCGCCGCCGGCGTCACGGTCAACTCGCAGCCGCATGGGATGCGCCCCGGTACCGGGCTCTATGTCGCCGGCACGCCCCTTGGCCAGTCTTCGGCGCAATTTCTCCAAGCCCAAGCGGCGCACCAGCATGCGCACTTGTCGGCCCCCGGCGCGGCCGCCCCCGCCGGGTCCCAGCCGGTCGACCGTTTCCGAGCCGCCTCTCAACCAATCTCGGGGGGTGGTGGCCTGGTCCATGATTTTGACTCGTCAGCCGGTCCCGGGACCATGTCGGTGCCCCCGGCGCCGGAGGCCGCCGCCGGGGCCTATCCCCAGGCCCACCACCACGTCAGCACGCCACAACAACAGCAGCAGCAGCAGCAACAGCCACCACAGCTCCACAGCTACTTCCCCCAGATCCCGGGGGGAGGCGGCCCGGCCGGGGGGACAACGCCGGTGGTGGCCGGCATGTCGGCCATACCGCCTGGAGTCCGGCGGTCAACTCCCGCGCAGGACGCCGCGTCCTATCAGAACTTGCCGCAGGGGTTCTACAACTTCGCCGAGCATGCGGCAGGCCTGCGCACGGCCATGGGCGTCACGGCCACCGGCCACCGGTTTGTCGACCCCTCCGGGCCTGCCTTCGACTTCGATGGGCCAAGCGTGGCCGGCGCCAACCCGAGCCAGCAGCTGGCACAGCAGCTTTCCTCGGCCATGAGCCCCTCGCTGTCGGTGCTGACCCAGCAGCAGGCCGGCCAGCTGCTGCCCGCGGGCGACCTGTCAGCCGGGGACTTGGCAGTGGCCGGGCTGGCGGTCCCGTCGCAATCCTCCGCCGACCACCTGCCTGGGCACCTTACCCGCCACCACTCGGATGGACAGCTGGGCATCGGGGCCGGGGGTCCTGGCGTCGGCGGCCTCCAAGGCGCCGCCCTGACCGACTGGAGCAATCCCTCGGCGAGCGGCCATGCTCCACAGGGGCAAGCCCCGCTGCCGCCATCGCAACAGCAGCAGCAGCAGCAGCAGCAGCAGCAGCAGCAGCAGCAGCAACAGCCGCCATCGCAACCGCAGTCGCAGTCTCAGCCACCGCCGCCGCCGCCGCCGTCGCAACAGCAACAGCAACAGCCACAGCAGCAGCAGCAGCAGCCCACCGCGGAGGTGCGCATGGTTTGGCCGCTCCTTGCCTCCCCGCCTCGCGCTGACGACTCGTCCCTCGTCGGCGGCATGGCCCTTGCCCCTCCCTCCGGCCCGCCGTAACTTTCGGCGAAGAAGGGTTTTCAGCAGGCCCCGTTCATCGACCAGGGGCAAATCAATCGGTCGATGGCGGCGGCAGGCACTGGTGACCGGGCGCCGGCGGTGCCATCGGCGGCGGCCTCGGCCATCGCCGACCTGGCCGTCCCCCGGCCCGGGGGACCGAGCGACACCGGGCCAGGCCATGCGGTGCCTCCTGTCCCGGGTGATGGCCGGTCGCCCGCCTCGCCGGTGGCCTCGGCGGCCGGGCTGCCGCTTGGGGATTCGCACGCGCCGGGGCAAGTGCTGACCAGCGCCGGGCTGGCTCCTCCCTCCTCCTCCTCCTCCTCCTCCTCCTCGGAAAGGGAGCCCCCGAACGCCGAGGCTTTTCAGAAGGCTGTTTTCCCTGCTGGCAGCGGGATGAGCAGCATGCGCCTGGGGTCAGTCGCCTCCTCCCCCTCCCCCTCTCCCTCCTCCTCCTCCTTCTCCTCCTCCACCACCACCACCACCACGTCCTGCCACATCTCCATTCCCCACCTCCCCGTCCCCACTCCCCTCAGCAATCCGGGCAAAAGGCCGGCCCCTGAGCAGCTGTCACATCTGTCGGCGACGGTCCCCCGCACCGGTGGCCAGGCCGGGCCGGGTGGCGCACCGCTGGCACGCCACCACCGGAGCCCCCCCCATCACCAGGCGTCAAGAGGCGATGAGCACATGCTGCCACCAAGACCGACCCCGCCACCAAGCGACTACCTGCCCCTGGGGCATGGGGCCGCTGCTGGCGGCCCGGTGTCACGCGTGCATCCCCGGGCCGGCGGCCTTTCCGATGAGGCGCAGCCACAGCCACAGCCAGGTACTGTGGAACCTGTAGCCGGCGGTGGCGGCCACGCGGAGGGCGATCACTCGCCCGTGTCGCACTTTGGCGGCGGGCCCATGCGCATCGGTGGCACCGGCGGCTTGGCCATCGCCCTGACGGCCCCCTCCTCGGCTGCATCCTCGACGTCCTCCTCGCCGCGGCCCCAGCAGCAGCCATTGGCGGGGCCTTCGCACCACCACCCATCGCACCCGCCGGGCCACCACCACCACCACCACCACCACCACCGCCACCAGCACCACCATCACCCACAGTATCACCGTCATCATTACTCGCCCCAGCCACCCCAACTGCATCACGAACACCCGACCAATGGCGCCGGCCCGCTTGCCCGGCAGCAACAGCAGGAGCAGCAGCAGCAGCAGGTACAATCCCCGCGCCACTACCACCCCCATGGCGTCAGTGAATGCTCCGCGGGGCCCGGGCAGGAGGCCGGCTGCCTTGCAGTCGCGCAGCCTGCAGCCGGGCTGCCTTTGGCCGATGCATCGCCGCGCGACCGGGGGGGAGCCTCTCCCATGTCCTTCGGCATGGCTGCGGCAGCCCCTCCAACCAAAGGGGGCACATCGGATGGGCCCTTTGCGCCGCTCAAAGCCACGCCCAGTCACTTCGGCGGCCTGGTGCCAGCCGGCTTGGCCAGGCTGGACCAGCCGTATGACGGCCCCGGGACCTTGCCGGGACCCGGCGGCGAGGACTCCCCTTCACATGGTGGCGCCGGGTATGCCGCCGGCTCGGACACCACGGTGGTTGTGGCTCCCTCGCCAGCGGCCGACGCCCTCGGCGGCGGCGGCGGCGGCGGCGGCGGCGGCGGCAACACCCCTGGCGGGGAGTATTTCGGTCCCGGCGGGCCCGGGGAACACGATGTGCCTTTCCCCCTGGTGGGGGGTCTGGGCGGTATGGGGGGCGCCGGCCGGAGCGCGCACGCGTCGTATGGCGGCGATGGCGATGCTGCGCCCGGCAACAGCGTCCAGGCTCACCATGGGCCCCTTGACGCCAAGCCCGGGGGGCTGTCCGGCGGCCTGGACCTCCCCTCGCCGCATCACCGGCACCCCTACCACCCATCTCAGCATGGCGCGGGCACGCACCATCAGGCAGGCGGGTCCTTCCATCTTCCGACCCAGTACCAGCACCACCCTCACCATCATCAAGCCCGCCATTATTGCCAGGAGGACGGAGGTGTAGAGTCTCCGGCCGGGGCGGGGGCCCTCAATGCCC